AAATAAAATTATGGTATGCGACCTTAATGATATTAATGAATACCATAATGATCGGAATTAATAATATTAATTCCGATCCGAAAAAGAAGCCTTGTATAAAAAAAACTAGAAAGAAAAGTTTGCTATTTTAATTAACTAACAACCTTTGACATATTGGAATGGAATGACATTATAGGTGATGTCAATACACTTTAATCAAAAGGTAGGTCGAAATAATTACTACATAATGAATGTATACAAAGCCATGAATACGCTTTGCAGTTGTTGGGTCAAAGCGTTCTTTGAGGTCCATGAAAATGATCCGAAGAATTTCCGTTGAAAGAAATTAAAACAGTGTACATTGCAAAACAATACATTATAAAACTTTATACAAACTTCACGATTATTTATATGAATATACCATATGTATTTCATTTATATATTTATATATAGGTATAATAAATCATGTCTTTCAAAATCTTAAAATACTATGTTAATTCTAGATTACAATTCTAAGAGGCGAGTATGAGTTTAATGATGATATCTTTTATGAACGCGTTCGCTTTGACATAAAGACATTGAGTTGACGTAATGAACACCTTACGTTGAGAAATTATTTATAATACGTTTTATCTGACGTAGCACCCTCATGAAAGTCGTTATCGGGATTGCTTATTATATTTTGGACTACTTGCATATCATCTTTATAATTTATATGAACTATTTTATTTCAGTTTTTATGTGAAGGAGTAAGAAGAACGTAGTTATCAAGTTAAAAAAAATGTGTATAACTTCATGGTTTCTTTTGAAATATGTTAGAAATAAAAAAGGGAATATGAGCAAACTATTTTGAGGTCCAAAGCTCCATTGTAGATTTGTGTCCATACTTGTCAGTAAGATGATAATTATTAGGTCATATTGCACTCAATGCTGCAAGTGCGATGACGCTATATGTCGAATGATAACATAGAAGATTCTATTGATCATGTCATACATCGAATGATAACCTAATTGTTTAAGTAACATGATCGTTGCGATTTATGTCATGATTACAATGGGTGCTTACATGACTAATTTTAGGCTTTGAATTGAGTTTTGAACCTTTATGTTTTTATTTCATCTATTAAATCTGTATAAAAGTAATAAATTTAATTTAAATTTAGTAATTTAAATGTTCTCTTATATTTTTAGTATAGTAACGATCATATTATATTGGAATTCTATATATTTTGAAAAACACTTGCTCACTTTATGGTATTAATTTTACTAGGAATATTATCAAGAATATTACATATTATTAAATAGAATATAAATTCATTTAAATTAAAAGAATAATAGTGAACTGCTTATAAAACAAATAATGAAAAATACATTTTATTGATTTAATTAATTTTGATCCAGTCAAAATTACCGAGAAAAACCAAAAACAATTTTAAAGTACTTTCATTAGTGAAATTAAACATATTACTGCAGATTGATGTATTATCTTCTCAAAAAGTGTATAATAAAATAGTCAGTAAAATTGTAATATCATTTCCGTAAATTGTACATTATTGTTTGTTTCATTGGAAATCTAGATTAACTGTTGGGAAAAATATTATTCCTATGTGGCAATTTTGCATTCTTTTCAAATGCACATTACTTTTTTCTTGAAAGAAAATTTACATTAGCTATTTTCTTGGATAACGGTGGGAAAAATTATAGTAAAAATTATAATTCATAAACAGCAATTTGACATTCCCGATAAATGTAAATTTATTTATTAAGACATTTTTCTGGGGTATGTGTGTATGTAAATATGTACTTAATATTAAAAGTAGGACAAGAAATAACGCATTTGGTTCTTACAAATGTTTCAGAAATTTATATGGATTTTTTAAAATTACTCATAGCTTTGTTTATTATAATAAATCGGTTTAGCTTCATACTTCAATATAATTGTTGATAGTTTGTTATCTTCACCGCAAATTACATTTTTTTTTTAAGGGATTTGATATTTTTATTCTTCTTAGAATCCCTATACAGCTTTTTGTATAATTGTAAATCAGAAGCTACATTCGGTTCTCTTAATAAACATTTCGATATTTAACAAATGATAATTGAGAGAATTTGGAGGTACGAAGTGTTAATATGCGGTATGCGGTTAATTAACACGGGATCCAATTAAAGGTATGTCTTATTATACAGGTATTTCATATTCATATTAAATTCATATAGCCTTTGATATTATATCTTAAATTACCAATGGTATATTCACGGTGCATTTAAAAGAGACTCATAAACTTTACTGGATTCAGTACCCTTTGAAGACCAAAATATTTTGTTTATATTTTAAAACAATTATATTGGCAACTCATCAAAGGTTGTTTGGTCCTTAGTAAGTATTCCACTAAATATATGCATATAAGGAAAGGGCTAATAAATAGTTAACTGAACTAAAAAATAAAAAATAAATTTCGATAAAAAAAAATATATTACAGTATTGCTTGATATTGTATATATGTTACAATCATTCTAGTGGCAACTATCTGTGAGTGGATAGATATGAAATGTAGCCAAATGCACCCCACGGTTTTTACTATGAATGAAATTATTCTATTAGCTACTTATATTATAAATTTATTTTGAGGTATTTAACTATGAATGTTTGTTTGACCTTCTACTTCTACTACTGTAATATAATGTCTTTGTAATTGAAAGTTATTTTCTATTTTAAACACGTTTTTATTTCAGCTTGGGTTGTATTTATGTATGTAACGGAATCTTTGAGCCTAAATTTAACCGGTTTCTAGAATCTGAATAATTTGAAATATTTGCATATGTATCAAGGAATGATAACAATCCAATAATTTGATAACAGTTTTCAATTATGCTTATTAGGATCGCCAGGATTAATGAAAACTTTTATAAATCCTCTATAGTGAAGTGAGAGAGATAGAGCATATCTACAGATTGGGCTTATTCTTTCGCTTTTAAAGTGAATTGAACTAGAAAAATTAAAAATAATTGTTTATTAAAAATTAAATAACACGCTTTTATAGCTAACGTTACTAAATAAATAGAAAAAAAAATATCAACTAAAAAGAAATTATTTTAATTCAGAGTAAAAAGCGTGGGGTGCTTTTGACTACATTTCATATCTGACCTCTTCTAGATATTTGCCACAAGAATGATTGTAACATTCAATATCAAGCACCCCACGCTTTTTACTCTGAATTAAAGTTTTCAATTTTAGTTCGGTTATCAATAAAAGTCAAATTTTAAAACAATCTAGTAGGGCTGTCTTCGAAGTACGTTTTTAGAATGTATGGATGTCTGGACAGGCCTAAATCTGTTTGTAGATTAAACACAGATTTAGCTGTTATACTTCTCAATCCCTATTTTATTACCTGCAAATTTATGGTGAACTTATTCTTAAGTAAGTTTGATCGTGAGCTCGTAGTACCGTGATGGGTTGGTTTTTGACTATGTTGGTTCAAGAGGAACCGTAAGTTCTACCAATAAAATGCACTTTAAGGATCCCATCACTCGATGCCACTCTCCCATTTAATGACGTACTAAGCCAAGGTCCGGCCTCTTAAGGCACCCTTAGGACGGTCGTACCCCCTCGGCCCGTCAAGACCGAATTTAACGGATAACCCCATCATCCCAGTCATCCCTCCCGGTAACGCTGTCTCTAAAACTCAAAAAAAAAGCTTTAAGCATAGAGTATACTTGACGTTTGGTTTTGTAGCCTTAATGGCATCTCCACACTGTTAAAATTTTAGCAGTTCTGGCGACCAATCATGATCTAAGGTTCACCATTTTAGTGGTAACGGGATGCAAAATTCTCCTATATCTAACCACTCGTTCTGAATTTTATAAGCTTTGCTGCAGTGCTTGGATCTTATATCTAGCATTCTCGGTTTGTCGAATTAAAGACTTTATTATATATGTATCTTTGGCCTTCTTATTTCATTGAACAATATTTAGTATGTAATATTATATTAAATCTAATTTCACACATTTTGGAACTCAAATAAGCTTATTTATCACATAAGCACGGCATAAAGGTTGATAAGGGTTGACGGAAAGGCTGTGGCAATTACATTACATACACAAATCATGACTGCTCAGAAGTAAATTATAAATTACTTCCTACATTTCAATTTTGTAACCTTTTTATATAATTTAATATTATTCGTAAAAAAAAATATAATGTATATATCGGATTTATTACAAATTCGTTGTTTTAAAACAGAGAGACGCCATCCTCGCTGAAGTTACAAATGTCACTTCTTCTAGAGCGTTTCATGATATTTTAAAATCAAACTTCAATTGTTCTTAATGCTCCTGTATTTCTCGAAGGTTCTTTATAATCACATACTTCAATGATACGAACTCACTGAACTCTGAATTCTCAATTCTGGAGTCTGCCGTCGTGCGTCCAGACGTAATATTTATAACAAGATTCAAACATAGTTCTATTCTCCTTTGATTTCGTTTTACTTTTAACAATTATCATAAATACTAATGAGGTTTAATAAGAATTGATGACAGCCTCAAATTATTTTCATGTCGCATCCGTTATTAAAGCTGATAGCGCCGATATATACAATTTTTTGACAAGGACGTCTGTGCTATATTATAGTATTATGATTAGCAACTGTAGTTAGCAGATATGTTTTCACTAAGAGACCAACCTCTTTTCTGAATATAAATAGAGTATAAGAATAAGGAGTTACATGAATATGAAATAGTAGAATTTATATTATAATTAATATGATATAAGCAAGAGGTATAATTTTCTTATGTTTAACTAAGTATGTCTCATTGACCGTGATCACGGTTGCTGTAAAGTAGCCGAAAAATATATATGTAGTATAGTATTTAGCAGTATAGTAGTTTATAATCAAAGACGAGACGAAACCTCTTAGCATTCAATGGATTCACCGTGCGGGTGCCGGGTCCATTGCGTTGCAGGGAGAGGAGCTTCAACAGTGCCTGGGACTTGCGACCCAGGTGTAGGTTTAAGGGGCCCCTTAACTAACGCGCGTTATACGCTCACCTCCACTGTCCAAGTTCCCCTCCCTACCTAACCAAATTTGAAAAGAACCTACTAGGGCTGCCTTCGACGTACGTTCTAAGAATGAATTAATGTTAGTTCTGGACAGGCCCAAGTCTTTTAGTAGGTTATAGAGAGATTTAGCTGTTATACCTCTCGCTCCCACCTCTACCGCGTACAAATCAACGACGAATCTATTTCGAGTTAGTTCGTTAGTGAGCTCGTAATACTTATTGACCTTGATGGCATGGTCTTTGGGGATGTTGGTTTCCCAAGGCACCGTAAGCTCTATCATCACAACGCGCTTTAAAATACGCGAATATAGAAATATGTCTGGTCTGGAGGCCGACGCACAAATATCCTCGGGGATTTTGTATTGTTTCTCATACGTATCCATCATGATAGTCCAATCCGAAGCCGCTTTAAGGATAGAGTAAGGCTTGACGTTTGATTTTATAGCCCTGGTGCCCTCTCTCACAAAACCTATTGATCGCTCGTTTGTGGTTATTTCTCTTTGCGCTCTGGCTACCGAAAGACTAACCGCTTCACGTATGATCTCTAAAACCCTATCGTGACGACGCGAGTATTGACCGCTGTCCAGGAGAACCTTACATCCCACCAGCAAATGCTTGGCAGTTCCAACTGCCTTTCCGCAGATATAGCAAGTTTTTTCGGTACCTTTACCCCATCTTACTAAATTACTCTGATCTGGGAGAGTCATCTGGAACGCATTGAGATAAAATTTTAGCAAGGCTGGCGACCAGTCATGAATTAGGGTGCGCCATTTTAGTGCTAGTGGAATGCAAAAATCTCCTATGTCTAACCACTCGTTCTGCATTTCTAAACTCATTGCATGGATTTTGTATTTATCGTTCTCGTCTTGCCGAATAAAAGACTTCAATATATCCGTATCTTGGACTTTCCTACTTGATCCTAACCCTACTCTGTTATTTTGCGCTCCGATCATAAATTGTTTATGGAATTGAAGTCGTGACTCTAGCTCTGGGGCATCATTGTCTTTTGGGAGTGATGTAACGACGTCATCATGGGATTTTCCCAGGATATGTCTCTTGGAAACTCTTAGGTGTTTGTAGAGCTCCGATGGTCTTTTTAGATTCATCCCAAAACTATTACGATCCCTGAATAAAGCCGATGAGTCAGCCGTTAGCGCGAGCCCGAGCCACAACTTCAACATCTTTATGACGCCTGCATCTAATTTAGATAAAAGGGTTTTACTAAAATCATAGACGAGGAAAGGCCAATTCAAACGTGAAGTTAAGTAATTATCGTAGATCCATGCTTTTTTTACGTTACTGATCTGCTGGCTATCTACCTTGTTAAGAAATTTGCGTAGTAAATCCGTAAATATTAGTTTAATTTCTTCTTCGATAATCTTAGATCTCATTACGTATGTCCCATTTTAAACCAATCATAATGTGTTTTATTTCAATAAAAGTATACGTAATAATACATTTAAAAATATTTGAGAAAGTTTCCCCATTTAATGAACGAATGTTTAACTCTAAGTTCCCACATAATAAAACTTTGCAATTAAGGTAACATGGTTCTAGGAGATTCTAATGGGTTAAAATGTTAAGCTTAAAGCTACAGTAAATAGAAAAATGCATGAATCATATAAAATTATCAAACTTTATAAAGTTAAAATTGGACAAAGCAAGCACACATTTTATTTAAAATCTTTATTAGAACTTTATTTACGTTTGTTAAACGATATGAAACTAATTTTATTATTATTGTTAATTATTATAATATCAGACTTTAAATATCATTTGTTTTTATTAATTTCAACTTAAACTCAATAATTAACACAAGGTTAAGTAATGTAATATAATGTATTATTAATACACCACAGGTCTTAAAAATATTTAAACTAGTGTGCTTTAGACTACACGACCAAAATTAAACTTGTTTCGCTCCATCTATATGTAATATGTTTATGCATTATGCATGTATATGCATGTACATGCATATGTTTATACTTACATGTATATAGTAAAGACACATATATATATATCATGCACTGGCTCTAAAAGGAAGCAGGAAACAAAATGTTGAAAATGTGCGCGCGTACTACTCTGTCCCTTGTCCCTACAGAAATATACGAACCTTGTCTCAGCCTTTAATCTGATCAAAGTATTGCAGGGAAGTTTTAATAGTATCTCCATTTACAAATATCTCATCCTCTTATACACGTACACGTTAAATAAGTTTCTAATGATTAATTTTATATAGTTCATCCATTTTTTTCTTTTTGAAACACAATTGCCATTCATCCATGAATTCCTCCTTCAATCCATCCAACCGTCCATCAATCCATCAATCCATCCATCCATGCATTCGATCACACATTTTGTAATGCTTTTACAATCTTACCCCTAGCGTGCGTAAAAAAGTTTTACTTCAAAAATATAAAATATTTAATTAATTTAATTTCACAAATGCATTAAATTACTCATCAAATATTTCTTAAGCTTTCACAAAATATTAAATATTTTGGTTTTAATGTAATATGGGATATATTTGCTACTCAGCAATATTATTTCTGTTTCTTTAATAAGAGCTGATATTTACATTCATAAATAACCAGAGATATATTATTTGGTCAACTTTCAATATTAAAGTTGCTATTTGTATTTCATAAATATTACATATAATACACTCGTCACATAATAAGCGCAGTTTTACTAATGAGCAATTACTAAAGATATATAATTTCAAACTTTAGTATGTTATACGTATATGACAAAGTTGATTTAATTTTTGTACTATTTAATAGACTATTTTTAGTTCTACATAATATTATAGTCTTAAGAGTTTATTAGTTAATGCGGTTTCGATTGTTTGTATTATTTAATAGTCTCGTTGTTTAATTTCAGTATGTATTTAGCTTTTGTTCTGTGGTTTGTAAAACTGGATCTAAAGGCTTAGCTTTTCCATTGAATGCTTACAAACCGCTGACTTCTGATTCTCCCCTTCGTTTGTTTAATGCATTGCAAGCCACATACACAATCAAGTTTGTATTCACTCGCTTGTTGTAAAAGAATGATACTCTTAATAAGTGTCAAGAAAGAGATCTCTTTTTTTTTGTTTTTTAGATTATTCTAATAGAAACCTACTTCAAAATGATGGGATTTCTAAATTATCTATGAGCTATTAGTAGATTGACTGACTAGAGAAGTGGTACTTTTTCCCTCTGAGTAGCTTATTTGTATATATGTGTAGGTTCTCTGTCATAAATACGACTCAGAGTTTTTATTGTTATCATTTCTTATAACAAGTTTATTTATAGTATCAGTAGCACAATGAAACCCATAGTTTTATTAAATGTATAATCACGCAAATGTTAACTATCTTTATAATTTAATCTTATTATCCGGAAAAGTATTTAAATAAAAATGTAGCTTATAAATTAAAAATCTTAACAACGCAACGTGTCGTTTTAATTCCTTTACTGTGCTACTTGAAGATGAGATGTGAGTAAGGTACCCTTACTTAGATTAAATATTTTATCCTCTGCGAGAGGGTCTTTTAACCCGAGTAAACCTTTATAAGAGTTGCAATAAATTAACAAAAGTTAAGCTGTAGTACTTTATATAAACGATGTCTTTTTACATATTTCTTATATTAAACAAAGATATTTTTATAGGAGTAATAGTTACAAATTTAATAAGCTTTATGTCATGTATTTAAATACAAAAATGTATTTCAATTAACTTAGCAGTATATGCAATTGAGTAACATGTAGTCACATTCCAATCTCCACCGCAGTAATAAAGTAAATTAAAAAAAAACATTATTTAAATATGAAGTTTCCTAAAAATATTAACAATGTTAATGAAGGCAATAAAAATATCTAAATAATTAGGACATCTGAGTTAAAATGAGACACAAAATGCTTTTCACCTGTACGATCCCTAATTCAGTTGATATCCACAAATATTTACTTTCATTTCAATCAAAATTCATTCATTCAAATCGTAATCTTCAAAGCTTCGAGATCCTTCGTCGTTGCTGTCACCTGAAAGAAAAGAAAAACAAAGTACTATTTCAGTTGCGCAACTTTTATCCTCCCTTGTCATTGAACATTTTTCCTCATTTTTATCATACTCTCGCATGTCAGAAGAAAATAAAAGCAACAGTTTTATAAAGGAAATATATTTTTAGGGAACTTAAACCGTTACAGTTATTTAGATATTTTTCATATCAATATTAAAGTTTTAGAAGTTTCAGAGAGTGCTTTTTTGTGAAGGAATGTACTTCCCTCAATTGTATCTTTATCAAATATTAGATGTTAGGTCAAGTTAGATGATATTTTTTTTATTTATAATCCTGTCTTTCTTTACCAGTTTGAAAATTTCTCTTTTATATTATTCCCCATATTTAAGTCAGTTGTTTTTAAGGACAAGGCATTTAGTATATTTAAAGTGTGAAAATTCTGAATCAATGCTATTCTGAATCAATCCTAATGGAAACGGATATTATAAAATACTCAATTGATTTTGAACTGCCGAATTAAATACGCATTTAATTTAAATTAGGATTGCAGTAGTATAATGAAAATCTTTTTAAACAGTTTTCTATGAAAAAAATACCTCTGTTGACGTTATATTATAAAGTGTTCTCTTGTCTTCTATAAATGAATGAAGAAACATATATGAAATGTTGTTACTCGTGTCTAAATTTTGCAATTTGAGTAATTGAAATCAAAGACTGTGTTTTTATTACTTTACAGTAATGGGTGTCAAGTAATCGTCTAACTGTTTGATGTGTAATTACGTTAAACAAATTAAATGATATATGTTCCTCATGAATACAAATAGGAAAGATAAAAGATTAAAATGGGGATTGCAAATATCTGCTTCTGTAAGATTTTTCCGACGAAATATGAATACGTAAATTTTATTTAGTATTATTTTGTTATGTGTGACATCATGCTGTTGTAATTAGATTTGATACATCATCTTCATCTCAAAAAAATATATAAGTCACAGGCAATTTTAAATAATACGACAGTTTACAAATTGCTGACGGCAGATTGTAAATTTTCTTCTTTTATAATTTTTATAAATATTTTATAACATTAGTAGCACATTTTATAATTTACGCTCCCCTTTTTTCTTGTGTTAGATTAGTTTAGGTTCATTTTTATAAAAAACCGAAGCCATTTGTAAACGGACATTTTATACAAATTGAGTGCGACATACATCGCTTAAACCTTGAAACAAATAAGTAAAATTATTATTTGGAGATGAAATTGCTGTTTGTATTAATTACAATAATATTCAGAACTCAATTATTGTTGCGGACGGTATGATTGACGTTGAAGCTTTAGTCATGGTGGTTAAATGTTGCATATTATGTTGTTGAAAACTATATGCTTTCAATTGGTTCGTAATTACCATTCCTATAACGAAAAAGTTTTTCAAGTACAAGACACTGTATGACAGTGTACACAATACTCGGATATGTTAAAATCCGTATTTTAAAAAATAATGGATTAAATATTGTTATGTTTTATAAAAATGGTATTGTTCGTACTTCTTTAAAAAACTCAGTAAGTTTTTTAGAGATAAGACAACTAATATTTAAAAAAGTTGTTGAAAATGTCTCAAATAATGTAAACTAGAGAGTAGAAAATTTTTAATAAAATTACAAATGTAATAAAAAAAAAGATCTTGAATGCAGTAAATCCTATGTCATATTCATTTAATAATTGTTATTATATATTGTTTGAAGCTTTTCCTTTTATTCTGTTATCAGAATATTTTTATGTGTCGTTTTCTTGTCTCCTCAAACCTAAATTAAACTTGCTTTGACAAACGCGCCGGTGATTTACGAAACTACAATGAATAGGCGGGTGATTTAGCGATGTCGACAACCGCTGAGTCGGAAACTAAACTCTCTTTTGGGATTGTTTCCAATCTTTTATATTTAAGATTTCATATTATCGTACATAGTTATTCAATTAAATATATAATAAAAGCATTATCATATATAATTATTTTATTTTAAAATCTGAAGCCAATATTCAGTGACACTTAAATCTATTTCTGTAATAACATAGAATGAGAATAGCTCTCGATATGTCTATTCAGTGACTTCAATAGATGGAGTTATCTATTGCAAAAGTTTAACAAGAATTACCTCACAGCCGATATTAAATTCTTGTTGTCT